ATAAATAAATAAGGGTGTTGTAAAGAAAACGGAAACACGACCGTAATTCGGGCTTTCAAGAGAGCCACTCGGAAACACTGACTTATTAGCCACTGTGCACAGGGCACAGGGCAAGTCTAGGGGAAGAGAAATGGTATTTACAAGAAAGGAAAGGTGAAGAACTTTCCATAAGGGCACTGGAATGACCTAAAACCTAAACACACACACTCTCACCTTCTTGTCCCTCGTGGGAATGTGGGGCTCCCCCTAACCTGGCTTCGTCCTCAATATGCCTGCTGCAGGTCCAAAGGTGTAACCGGAGGGGGCCTGTGAGTCTAAACCTGCAATAACCAAACTCCCCTATTATTCTCATCATCCGAAGTGCACTTTTCCTCCCCGTCACCCACCCAAGCAACAGCTTTAAGTGTGGGCATGTGCTCCTAGCCGGTGGAGAGACAACTTGTCTGGTCAGCTCTTCCCTGACGGGAACCACATGAGCACTGAAGAATGCCCATGCAAGTCCATACAGAGATGAGGTATTTTTTAAATCCTCTTGGAAGTAACTACTAGGCCGTGCTACCCAGCAGATGAGAACAGGGCCATGTAAGCCAGGGCTGGGAAGGGGCTGAGTACATCCTCTGGGTAGAGCAGGCAGCAGAGAGGCTGAGACCCTGGGGCCTCCGCAGCTCCCAGTGGGGCACAGCAGCACAGAGATGCCATTTATGTTCTGCAGAGCACTCTCGCTGCCTGGGTGGACAGCCCCTCCCCAGTGCATCCTGGGAGAGAGGCAATGTCACCTGACCTCCTGAGGGCAGTGAGAAGCTGTCGCCATCTGCAATCACACAGCTCATCAGTCATACAAACACACGCATGTTTGGGAGCAAAGACACACGGCTCCGAATGTTAGAAATTTTAAAACAATGTAGGCACTCGGCAACCGAAACCCTGAAACCTCAATTCATTCTTCAGAAATGACTTTTTCTGTTAAAAACGTTCTCCTTAGTATTGAAAAACGAGACTTCCTCACTTGAGGAAGGCTTGGGAAAACCCAGCGCGACACAAAACACAGCAAGGGTGGCCGGCAGTTTTCTGGCTGCCCCTTGCTCTTAAGTATCCTTCTGTTTAAGAATTTCTCCACCTCTCACAGACCATCTTTTTTTCTTTCCAGAAAAATCTGAAGACCATGTGTTTATAACGAGCCTGTTGCTATGCAAATCTTTAAAACACATTACAAAAATATTTCCTTTGAGTCAAGAGCACAGAGTGGGAAAAGATGAACTGCTAGCAAGAGGCCTCTTGCTGAACAGAAAGTCTGGCAGAAAAGAGTAGAAGCAGAGAAAAATGGAAAAAATTATGGTGGTCCCATCCGTGAGTCATTTTAACCAAAGGGGGGAAACTAAACTTTAAGGCCCCAAGGTAACATATCTTACAGTGTGCGGTGAGGTTAACAACTCAGAGGTTCTGAATCTCTTTAATTCCTATGGTTTCGTGACTCACCCCCATCTGTCTCCTAGTAAGTCTTTTTTTGCCAGGTTTTTCACATTTCTGGAATCACGTCAGGATTTCCTGGTTTATCTGCACTCCTAGGTGCACTCGCCTCCTAACAACTTTTTTGTCAGTGATCACCTTAAAGCAGGCCTGAATTGGGTCTTTCTTCTCCAACACGGTCCTTGCATGGAAGCAGCTTCCCTGCATGGTGAAGATGCTCCTTCCTGAGCAGTTGGATCCAGCGGAAGAGACACAGAATTTCAAATTAACATCAAAAAAGCAGTGCGTCACAGCTTTCTAATTCATCTTTCTCCAAGTTTTGCAGTACTCTGATAACATTAATCTGTAAGTTTCCAGGCTGGGTGGGGACAGGCAGTGAAATGAACACCCTTTAAACACATCCTCTTTTTATTCCCTTGTATCTTCAGACACATCCATACCCGAAAGCCCCCAAATACCTGTATTCATTCTGGACTCTTTGTCCTTATTCAAGAGAGAAGAAATCCCTGGTCATGACTAATGCTATGGAGCCTGCTTTCCTCTCAAACAGAAGCCAAACCAAGGCAAACATGTGTTGGCTGAAAACAAGTTTGGATGGCTCCAGACAAAGTCTTATTTTTTAAGCACAGATGGCTCTGCCTCCACCAGTTGCCTGCAAATGAGAGACAGATCTCTACTTCTAATCTATGCAAATGTCTTCCCCTGGGGAGCATCACAAAGACTGTTTGATGTCCACCCCTGCAGACCCCAGGTGCTCTAGGAAAGACCAAGGCCCAGCCCCACCAGAGATGCTGGGGGGGAGCAGGGCCTGGAGAGCCGGAGAGTCAGTGGTGACCCTGCTCCTGAGGACAGTGGGGGCCTCCAAGGGACCTCCTGAGGGAATCTCTCCCCGCCCACTGCTGGGACCTCACAACTTCCAAAACCTCCCAAGAAGCTCCGATGTACCAAGGCTCCTGCTGACTACCACAGCATCCTTCCTCAGGACTTCGGCACATTTATTCATCTCCAGTACCAGACCCAGAAAGCCTCAGCACCCACAAACGCCATTCTGTTCACACCAGCTGTCCTCGGGGCTCCAGGCTTCATCCCTACCAATGACTCGGCCCTCACCCTTCCGAAAGGTGTGCAATTCTCCTTTCTCCTGCTTTCAATTTCCTTTATTTACTAACAAGACTCTTTACTTTCATTATTTCTCCATCTCCTCTGCTTATGTACGTGTATTCCCTTGACATATTCCGATTTTAGGCAAATATTTTTGCAGTGTACACACACACACGCACAATCCCTCCTAATAAACTAGTTCCTAACTTCAAACATGGAAAAGCAGCTTATACCTGAAATCGACATAGTTCAGTTCCAATGTTTAAGTCTACAACAGTCTTTCAAAGCTTTAAATTTTTTGTTGGTATTTCTGTTTAAATGACAGTAAGAGTCTGCTTCAAATCCTGTAGTAGAAAACACTTTTCTCCCTATCAATTTTTACCTTAAATGTTCCAAGCTAAGCAAAAGAAATTCTAAAGCAAAAGGCAAGAAGTCTTCTCTACCCTATAACTACCTCCAAAGCTTCTTTCCTCCATACCTCAGATTTTGAGATGGAAACACTTTTTGTCAGTTTATGAATGCAAATATTGACAGATAATGCAGCTTTAAGTATCTTTATCTGGAAAATCTGAAAGTATAGAGAGTCCACTGATTTCCAAGTTTGGACAAGCTCCAGAACTACCAAAGGAGTCCCCTTTCCAGCCCTAGGCATTCCCATTCAAGCTTCCAGTAAAGCTCTAGAATCCACATTTAGAGTAAATGCTCAGGCTATGACGCTGCAGCAGACCTCTGGTTTCTGAACAACTGGCCCATTGCAACCTCCGACCCAAGAAGGCAGAGTCCGCTACTGGACACTGCTGAGACCACACAGTCTACGCTCCAACATCCCCGGGAGCTCACCCTTTTACAAGTCTTGATCCACTGACGTGGTTGCAGTTACTAGAGACTACGTTCTCATGCTGAGGCAAATAGCCAAAGTCTTTCAAGTCCTGGAACTCCGCTTACCAAGGGCCTTAACTTTGTGCTCAGGAGTTAACACAGTACCCCCTCTCACCAAAGAATCTGCAGACATCTGAAGGCAGCTACTGTGCCCTCGAAGGCCTTGTTTCTCTAAGCTCACTCAACCCTAACTTTACAAAGCACAATTTCTCAGCCCCCGCCCATTTCAACTGTCCTCCCTCAACAGCAGATCCCCCAGAGTAAGTCTGCCTTGAGTAACACCGTTTTTCTTGCAGACCTTTTCGCGATATGCACTAATCTATACTCTTGTCCCTGTCGTGTCTCACATTTAACCGCTGTTCAAAAGCCAAGATTCACCAAGTACTGAACTTATTAACCTAACGCTGTGACCCTAGCACTGTGTAAAGTGCGTAAGGTAGATTCCAAAGCAGGCAGGAGGACTTCGTCATTTTTTTCCCGGAAAAGAGTTGGGCGACATCACTTGAAAGCAATCCAGGACGGTATGTATCAGAGGGCTTCAAACAGCACCAGGACAGAGGCTGAATTCTTGGTTTTCTGAGTCATTTGGAGAGCTACCTTTTGGTGTCTACTTTCAGACATAGCATCTATTCAACAATGGGTTTTGATACTAAAAGGTGGGAACAGACTACCAGAAATGTACGTAACAATCTCAACTGCATCTTTATTCCAGAAATTTAAAATCCGTACAACAATGTAAGCGGAAGTCACGCAGAATACTGTACCGGTGCGTCCTTCTGCACAGGTTGCTGGCTTCCCCCACCAAGCGCTCTGGAACCCACGAACCAAGAAAGGTGAAAAGCAGAGGGTTTATGTGATTCCCCTCCCCAACGGAAGTATCCATTCGGTGGGAAGATCCCTAGGTTTTTTCATGGAAAACTCTTATCAATAGGTACATTTCAAGGACACCAACAAAAAGTACCTGTTTCACACAGTGAATCATAAACTATCAGAATGTGATGGATTTTCACAAACCCTCCCTTTACAGAGGAGGGAGCATGGCAGGTGGATTCTCCCAGGCACAGCACAGTGGGCCAAGACCCCATTCGTTCCCGGTTCTCCTCATGAAACCGGTCAATCAAAACTCTTGCCCTTGCAATATTTTCTTCCTTAAATTTATTCCCATCTTTAGTTATCGTCCTGCTCCTAAAAATCCAAGGCAACTCGGTACATTTCGGGTGGATACTCTGAGGGGACAGGTGGACAAAACCTATTAGGGGGTTAAATCTTTATTGAATTCTAGCGTTATCTATTTTATCCACCACCGCCAACAAATACGCTGTCTGTCCTGCTAGACACAAAATTCCCAGGCTCAGGAGCACCGCTGCCTCCCGGGGTTATGGGGAACCACAGGGATAGCTACACTTTACAGCTACAAAGCGAGCGGTAAACAACCCCCACCTACCCTGCCACTGTGCACTCGCCCCCACATCCGCTGGCTGCACGCCCACGCCCCCACCGGAAGTCTCAGTGCATCCACGCCCTGGCACGGAATTTAGGGGGGCTGCGCCTACCTTGTGGCCTCTTGCTGAAGCCATGACACATTTGGCACATAGAACATGACTCCGAAGAACAGCAGAGGCTCGTTAGCGAATTTGTCCAGATGTTTCTTCAGCGGTTTCTCTAGCTCCACCCATCGAGCTTGCTGGCTCTTGCTGAGGAACCAAAGGCCAAAGTAGTGCGTCTGGATAAAAGGGAAGAAAAGCGCATCAGCTGGGGCTTACCACAGGGCTCCCAAGACCACACAGAGACGGTTCTCGCGCACCTCCATCACCCTCAGCTCTTCAGCCTATACACAAGGTCCGGTTTCTATTTTCTAACCATGGGATAAATGGAAGAAATCACGTCCACACAATGCCACGACTCCATAAAGCCCCATATGCAACACTCCTGCCGGGGCTGCTGTTTGCAGCTCGGGTCCCACTGCATTACTGGTGCTAGGTATAAGGTCGTGCAGGGTGAGTACAGTGTTTTTTCCTAAGACACAAAGTCGTCCCGGGTCCCAGCCCTCGCACCTGCTGAAGATAAATTATCACCCAACTCCGAAGGCAAAACCTCCTGGCAGCTGAAAACTCCTGCACTGAAGAGTATTTGCATACAGCATCAGATTTTAGCCAAAAATGAATTCACTTGTTTTGAGCTTTAATGAAGGACTTTAGATACACTGGCCCGCCCCACTTTATTACACACGAACTGCAGCAGATCCCTCCCGCTTCGCCATGCTCTGAGGAGGAAAAGCGCCCCCTCAGCAGCTGCCTCCGAGCCCCTCGAGTGTTTTGGGCAGCTTACAGTGGGATCTGATAAATGAAACTGAGATTTTCACCCTCACACTTGAAGCCTCAACCAGTTTAGTTTTGAACAACATGCTAAATCATTTAAAACAGGGACTTTTATGCACCCGATGTCGTCTTTATATTAATTCATACTAGGATTTCAGGATTAGCACAATAATCGCGCAATAAATAGATCAATGCTTGGAAGATTCTTTTGTATTTCAATTGTACCCTAGAATGGTTTACAGCACACCTGGAAATCTGCCTTCAAAAGGATGTTTTCATTGCGACGTTGAATTTCCAGAGGCATTCTCACAACTATGTTCCCGCCCCACCTGGCTGCCTGCTCAGCATACCAAGAACTGATCCCAGCCCTGACCCTAACCCTCACTTGACCAGAAATCCGGATATGTCCTTGCCCACAGAGACCCAGATGCACTGAAGGATATTTTTAAGGGATTTATTTTCAGATGGGTACAATGATTCCATCAGTTTTCTTCCACGATGTTCCAAAGGGTGCATTCATGTGAGAAATCTATACATTTCTCAAACTATATATAGAAGGCAACCAGCCCAGGAGGTATTCCTACCAACTTAGACAAACTTGCTTGAGTGAATATGAACTCTGCTGTCCAGTTCCGAGCTTCAGTGAGTCCACCAGTGGTTGCAACAACTGTAGGAGGGGTGGAATCTCAAGAGGCAAAGCCCAGTGGAAGTCCTTAGGGGGGTCCCTTGAAGGACTGTAGGACCCTGCACCCTTCTCTTCTCTTTTGCAGACCCAAAGCAACAGACTAATTGACCATGGACTTGAACCTCTGAAACCATGAGCCAAAAAGTAAATCTTTTCTCTTAACGAGCTGCTTATCTCGGACATGTGTTATAGTTATGGAAAGCTTGCCGATATCCTTATGAACCACACAATTAGAAAACAGGTTACCTGGAAGTCAATGACAAGAAGCAGACAAAAGGAGAAGCCAGACAACTGTAAATAACACAAAGAGGTGTAAGAAAAATAACCACAAAGCAGTGGTTCCCCTAAATTCTTCTTGAGTCTGAATATAGGTGTTTATGGGCAGTGGGACAGAAACCTCAGGCTGTCCTCAGGGATGGGGGATACAGGCTTAAGCTCCAAATGGGGTCCCCAGGCACCGGCAGCTCCACACCACACTGAATTTCTGCATGGAAGAGACAGCCATAAAAGGGTCTCCCACTGCAGGCTGGATGACATGGAGTGTTTGCATATAATAAATGAGGTATTCACAAACCGTAACATGTGATGTCATAATCATTATGGTTGGAAAGAAGCCCTTTCCAAGATGGGTGGAGGAAGGGAAAGCAGGCTCCACAATTGCTTAACCAACTCATCGTGATTTCTCACCTCTCGCTAAAAGTAGTTTTGACATTTGGGAAGTATTTTTATAGTCCACACTTCATTCTAATTGTAATATTCATTTAAATTACGAACACTCAGGTTATGAAGCATCCACAGTATCTGCATGTACATTCAACAACTGATTTTTTTCCAGAAAGTATTTAGTATTTTTATTGCTACTATGCCTTGAAGGGGAGTATTTCAAATTCCTTTCCATTCCCACCCATGTAAGACAATGAAGAGACCTGACCTTGTTGAAAAAACACCCAAGAACAAGACGTATTCCATGGAGTGCACACACACACACACACACACACACACACACACACACACGGAATGGTGAGATCCAAGAGAACTCAGAATAAGGTAATATCCTTGAGCCACAGTTAATACCGTAGAGTTCTAAAGAACAAAGCAAACCACTTCTAACGGAAAAACCTAATTCCTGGCATAACACTTTTTTGTTGCTCAAATACAGCATTTTCCAGAGGACAAAGAGCACTGCAGAAGGAGACACCTCGCAATTACCCAATGGAAGAGTTACATGAGGACTCAAGAGCGGGGTTCAGGGAGGGGAGCACTGGGGGATCAGGGAACCTACAGGACACCGCGTCTACCCACTGCAGCCCAGCCAGACACCTACTGCCGGGCGCCTCACCCACCCACTTCTCTGAGAAGGAAAGCCCGTTGCGGGGTTCCCACTCGCTCACAGGGTTTGGAGGCTGCACCCTGCAGGGAGACCCTGCCTCCGAGTGCTTCTCTGGCCTCCAGCGCAGTTCAATTTGCCGCTCAAGTCTGTAGCAGAGCACAGTCCCGGGTCTACACAGTGCCCACAAGGAAGTGGAACCACAGCCAGCTGTGCACCCACCTTCCGCCTCGTGGCCTGGGGACTGGGCACCCTGTCCAGCACAGCGGGGACCACCCAGGCCTCTTCATACCTGCCTGGCCAAATCCAGCTCTAGCTCAGCTTTGTTAATTAAGCTTCGCAGCTCAACCCTGCCACATGATTGAGAAAATGTGGCCGAGGATCCCAAACAGAAGCCACCTCCTCAGTGACCAGAAGGATCTCAGTGATTCCTGAGGAATGCCAGAAACCTGAGCTGCAGGCCTGAGGAGCAAAGGGGAGCCAGGCTGGCCGACCCTCAGGCCACCGCTGTGGGGGCAGAAATCCCACTTTTTCTCTAGCTTGAGAGTCACAGCGCTGCTGCCATGAGCTTACTGCAGTGATGAGAAAACAAGAGAAGACTTCGAGAGCCAGTTTCCAGGGAGAGAAGCCAGTCACTGAAATGCACACCAAAGAAACATCGAATGGGACCTGGCACCTGAGAGGCTGAGGCAGGAGGGTCAAGGCATGAGTTTGAGGCCAGCCTGAACTATGTATCAAGACCCTGTCTCAAAAAGCAAAGCAAAACAAGTCTATTAAAAATAATTTGAAGTAGGGCTGGGGATTTAGCTCAATGGTTCTACTGCCTGCCTCGCAGGCGCAAAGACCTGAGTTCAATCCCTGGTACCAAAATAATAATGATAATAATGATAATAATTTGAAGTGGTTTTGACTTGTTCATTCATTTATTTGTAAAGATGTGATACAATTCTGCATATTAACTATCAATGAGAAGTTTTTTTGAGAGTTTTGTTTTTCCAGTTTTGTGACCCATGGTGTGAAGGGATTAAACACTTGGATCTTTTTTTTTTGGTACCAGGGATCAAACTCAGATCCTTGCGCTTGCAAGGCAGGCGATGGAACCACTGAGCTAAATCCCCCGGCCCAACACTTGATCTTCATGCAAGCATTTTGAAGAACTAATCATCTCGAAGTGAAAGTTTAAAATATCTCACATTGAGCTGAGTGTCGTGGAGCACATCTGTAATGCCAGCACTCAAGAAGCTGAGGCACGAGGATCGCTAGGAGTTCAAGGCCAGCCTGAGCTACATAGTGAGTTCAAGGCAAACCTGAATTACATAGTGACCCCCTATCTCAAAAAGCAAATAAACAACAACAAAACAAAACCACATTAAGTTGTAACAGTTCGCTGTCTTACCCAGCATTTCAGCTGTCAGCTAAGAAACAGAGCCTGTACGCCCCCACATGAATACTCCGGCATTCACGAGGGCACCTCACACACAACCTCTAATCTGAGAAAACCAAGACCACGTGAAGCTAAGATTGCACGTTATCATCTTCACAAAGCGAAATGCTCAACACGAAATCCAAAGGCCAGATACCTCCCTCAGCAGTCTATTCTTAGCAGATTCCTAGTCAGTGTTGATCATTTTAATCCTCAGCAAACGCACAATTACGTGAATGTGGTTAAGCAAGCTATAAAATACAGCCAGATTCCACAGTTATCGGACAGGGCCTGAGGGATGGTTTTTTTACAATTAATCAAGTACTCCCCAGATCACCCAGAAGTTAATAATTGCCAGAAGATTAACAAAAAATCAAACCACACAACTAAACTATCCTTAATACTGTGAGATAACCAACCTCCTCTCTCTCTCTTCCTCTCTCTCGCTCTCTCCTTCCCTGTCTTTCTCTCTCTCCCGTCTTCTTTCAAGTGAACCCAAGGCCATTGCACTGAGCTATATCCCCCACCATTTCATTTTATTTTTATTTCGAGACAGGTCTCACAAAGTGGCTCAGGCTGAGCTCAGACTAAGTTAACTTCTCGATGATAAGGGATGCATGTTCAGTTCTGTGTCTTTGTAATCTCCAGTCGTGATGAGAAGAACAAAAAGTGGAAATTTCCTACTATAGCTGTTAGCTATGAGCCTTTAGTAAACATGAAAATACACATCTAGAAAAAAGCCAAATTAGGGAATCAGTATCAACCTTATAAAATGACTGTAAGTGGAGGGAGGGCCCTTTAAAAACCTGGAACTGTTGTTTAACCTTAGGATTCAGTCAGTCTCCAGAGAACTGGAACTTTCAACAAGACAGCTTTCGGGTTCAGTGGTGCCACTGCTGCCTGCCTCCAAAGCGCAAGGTCCCGAAGCTCAATCCCAGGTACCAAAAAAAAAAAAAGAAAAAAGAAAAAAAAGACAGCTTTCTACCTCAAATAAGGCTCAGCAATGAAGAACATCTCAGAAATTTCTGTTAAGACATTTATCTCTCGCTCTTCCACTTACTGTTTTTAAGTAAAAAGTATAGATAGACAAGATTACCCTTAAAGGATACCATTCCAGCACATTTTTACATTTTGTAAGAATCCCCGTTGGTTGGTTGGTTGGTTGGTTTTGGTGTTTTTCTTTTTGCACTGCTAGAGATCAAACCCACAGCCTCGTGCTTGCTCAGAAAGTGCTCAACCGCTGAGCCCCAGCCCAGCCTGGCAGTTTGTGCATTTATCATCATTATTATCGACTTGGTCTCTTTCTTTGCCTTTCTTGAAACACTACTATTGACTAGAAATACAACATGAGTCTCATATTCAATTTTAAATTTTCTAGTAGCTACTTTTATTTATCTATCTATTTATTTACTTATTTATTTTTGGTACCGGGGATCGAACTTGGGACCTCGTGCTTGTGAGGCAGGAGGTAGCACCACTGAGCTAAATCCCCGGCCCTAGTAGCTTCTTTAAAGTACCAAGAGGTGAAATTAATTTTAATAAATTTTATTGAAAAATGATGTACTTAAAATATCACCTCAATCTATCATCAATATAAAAGTAATTATTGAGGATCTATATAGAGATTCCACCAAAAACTGTATACAAACCTCAGGAAAGGAAAAACAGTATTTTTTTTTAAGAGACGGTTAAACAGATGATCCCCCCTCATACGGGGCCCCTGAGAGGACGTCACGCATTACAGAAAGCGCACTGCTCTGCCAGCCCTTACAGAAGAAACTGAAAATGTGGGTGCAGCAATCTGTGACCAAGGTCACCCAAGCAGTGTCTGGAAGCTCACAGACACCTCTCCGAGCACCTCTTGGCATTGTAGAGGCCAAAGGTAACGTGTATTCATCTCTTGATGTCTCAATAAATTTGGTATTAAAATATACAAGTCTTTCTTTTCCTGAAGTGTGTATACATTTTTGGCAGACTATACATACACATCTGTTTCTTTGTTTGATTGAGACAAAGTCTTACTATGTAGCCCAGGCTGGCCTCAAACACAGCGATCCTCCTGCCTCAGCCTTCCAAGTGTTGGGATTACAGGTGTGTGCCACCATGCCTGCCTTATTATTGGATATTTCTGTTCTTTTCCATGCTAGGTCTTCAATGTCTGGTTGTGGAGTACACTTAGCACACACTGAGCCAGCCACAGTTCTAGGGCTCAGTAGTCACATGTGGTTACCACGCTGGGCAGCATGGGTTTTCCTGCTTTGTTTTGTCTTTGGTACTGGGATTGAATCCAGGGACTTCACACTGAGGTACATATCCAGGCCTTTTTCTATGGTTTTTACTTTGACACTGGGTCACAGTGAGTCACAAAGCTGCCCAAGCTGGGCCCGAACATTTTTTTGTTTGTTTGGTTTTTTGAGGCAGGGTCTCGCTATGTAGCCCAGGCTGGCCTTGAACTCGCAGTTATCCTCCTGCTTCAGCCTCCCGGAGTGCTGCTAGACCATGTCATTTTTAATAACTCTTCAAGGAGCTGGAGACTTCTCTATTTTGGCTCAGTATCAGATCACGGTTACTAATCATTAAAACCATCTAAAAACGGAGCAAGCAGACACGAAAGCTGAGAGCCCGACCTCTGCCTGGAAGTTTCAGTGCTGAGAAGTCACACGGTGTCTTCAGGTGGCCATGCCGGGTGAAGTGCCAGGCCCTGTGACACAGGGGCCTCTTTGGAAAACCAACCCTGACTCCTCCCAGCAAGCCGTGGAGGCTGCCGCTATCAGCCTGCATCCTACAGCCCCCCAAGGCCCGGGCAGCGAGTTACCTGCAAGCACACCGCGACTGCAGGGCCAGAGCCAAGGCACAGGTACGCTGCACTCTGAGCCCCCATGCAAGCCACCGAGCTGCCGCCCCCTTGCCTGCTCTGGAGTCACCAAGCGGCGAGCGAAAGAAAGAATGAGCAGCACCAACAGCCCGGCTGGCAGTGCAAGTTTAGGTTTACAGTGGTCCTTGGAGTTACAACCGGCCTGACATATGAACAACTTGGTTTAGGACCAGAATTTTAGTTTTAACTTAGGACCAAAGTCCCGAGTTATGACCCAAATGCCAACTGCTTGTGCTTCCAGGTGGTCTCAGATAACAGATTCCACCCTTAGAGAGTTCTGGAAGGAGTATGACAGCATCTGTTCCTGTGTGGGGTTAACTGAGAAATCCTGGGCCAGTGTCTCTCTAAGGACACTGAGATCCGCCTGTGTACAGGAGAGACTGTGAAGGCTGTGTGGAGGAGCCTGAGCCTTCAATTGACCAACCTGAGTTACAACCAGCCCTGGAGAACGAATTGAGCTCGTAAGTCAAGGGGCCACTGTATTCTCCCTCATCCCAGCACGTTCGTGTGGTGCTAGCAAACCGTCAGCTACAGATGCTAAAGGGACTTGCAACAAAAACACAGGTCCACCCTGTATAAAGTACCACCACCAGGCAGGATTCTCAGTAGTTTCAGGACCCCCTCAGATACCAAAATCCAAAAGGCGCAGCACCTGCAGGTAACCTACCCTTCCCCAGACTTCGTCTTCTTCAGCCGACTTCGCATACCTAGCACAATGCACGCCCGATGCCAAGAGCTATTACACTGTACTGCTGAAGAAAAAATGACAAGGAAAAAGGCCGCACACACGCAACAGAAAAGCCATTTTTTCCTAAATGTTTTACATCTGCAGTTGGTTGAACCCACAGATGAGAAACCCATACAGAGGGTGGGTCAACAAAGTTTATTTTTAAATATGTTATTTTCAAACAGGGATGGGGTTCCAGACGCTGCGCCCCCTCTGTCACGGGAACAGCGCTCTGTATACAGCGCGTCCTCCCAAGATGTCATTTGGAGGAAAGAAAAAGAGCTGAACCCACACACGCAGATAGGCTATAGCTCCAGCACCAGAATTGTTTTTGTGAGTCCCTCTTTCTCTTAAATTTCCTCTTTAAGAGTTCCCAGACAGAAACTCCTACTTATATTTTTTTACCTTAAAAACAATTAAAAAGAAAATAAGCATGTTTTCCTAAGAAGTTCTCATTTCCTCTGGCCAGGATCCCAGCTGTCCCCCATGTCCCTGTCCCTCCCCCGACCCCCATTCTGTCCTGCTATCTGCCAGGCTCCCCCCAATCTCCGACCTCCATCCCGAGCAGTCTACCTCCCCACCCAGCTCGGAGTGTTCACGGGAGGGCTGACCTCCTGGCAGAGCACCCTGCTGCCCTCTTTCCTTTCTCTTCAACTCCAGAACTCAGGAGAGGGGACCCCAAGTCGACTCAGGGGCGTCCCCCTGCCCAGTGCGAAGCAGCCTCACAACCTGCCAGCACGGTGTCACTCTGCAGGTCACCCTGAGCTCCAGTCTCTGTCTGTAAAGCAGGTGCAGCAAGCAAGAGGACAGACTTGTGTGAGAATTAAATAAGACATAATGGAGATTGCTCGGCACACACTGCAGTGAAAGGGAATGGTTGTTCTGATTTTTGTCTGTCACGTATTTTAGAAGTAGGATCTACCGAAAACTGATTTTTAAGACATTTGGGTTTACACAGTCAGAAATTACTAGACAGCACTACACATTTCACGCACAGTATCTATTTTAAGATTCACAGCAGCCCTAAGCACCATCACTCCCACTTCACAGGTGTGAAAACACACTCAGTAACTTTCTAAGGCCACGCAGCCAGAAAGTGAGAGCAGCAGTGTGAATCTAAGTCCAAGGCCATAAAGCCTGTGCTTGTAACTTAATCACGTGTCATATACCCCTCTGCTGCACACAGATGACGCTTGCTTGATCTAATGTGACTACAAAAGTAAAATCACTGCGCATCTCTTTAAATTTCACACAAGAGGGCCGGGGATCTAGCTCAGTGGTGCCGACACCTGCCATGCAAGCACAAGGCCCCGAGTTCGATCCCCGGTACCAAAAAAAGGGTAAATTTAGCACAAGACTGTAGACGAGTGTTCTGTCCCCGACCCAGAGTGACAGGGTCTCCCTTGTGCCCTGCACGTGTGCAGATGTGTGTTTAAATCTGTGCGCTGGTGTGCCACCTGTGAGCGAAGGACGCCCCGAGCCAGGACACAGCTCGTGTCCACTGCACCGTGTGGGCTTCGAGCCTCAGACCCCTGCGGTCCAGCGCAGGTCACTGCCCGGGAAAGCGAACCTGGAAGCCTGCCTGGTGGCTGCAACGAAAATCTCCGCACAAAGAACTGCAGACAGGAGCCCGAGACCGGGTGCCGCCTAAGAGGCTGCCACACAGGCTGGAACGACCGGGGTGGGGGGGCTCTTGGCAGGAGCGAGTGCAGAGTCAACCACCCAAAGTCTCCTTGCCACTCACTTTCTGGGCTCTTGCTCCTCTTCTTTTGAAGAAGAAAATACAGAAACAAACAAAGGCAGCCGCTGCCACCGCGGGTGGGCGTTTCCCCCATGAGCGAGCTGTGATGCCAAGATGCCAACGCCCCCGGCCACTGTTCTAAGGAGAGCGCGGCCTTTGGGGGGGGGGGGGGTCACGCTCATCCCCTCCGGGCCTCCCTCCGGCCGGGGACGGCCACTGGGAAGCTCCGGGCAGGGCCCGCCGCCCCACCTGCGTGCAGGTGTCTGATGGCCCGTGCTGAGAACAAGGCTCACAAGCCCTGCCCGAACCCCGGTCCGCTCACCTCGCGCAGCTCCAGCCTCTGCGCCACGGCTTCCAGGCACTCCTGGCCCGTGCTCTCCACCGACAGCGTGCACTCGATGACGCTGCTGTCCAGCAGGCGGATGCGGGTGACGAAGCAGTTCTTGCTCAGCACATTGTAGCGCCGCGTGCGGCGGAGCTTCAGGCCGAACGGCATGGCGCTGCGCTCCGGCGAGGGCCTCAGCGACGTGGTGCCTGGGCGCTCGCGCTCCCGGCCCAGCTTCTGCAGGCGCGGGGGGACCGGGCCATGCCCGGCGGGCTCTGCGGGGCAGCTGCAATGGAAAACAGTCCGGTCAGCGCTGAGGGGAGGCCGTGCACGTTCGACGCGCGCTGCACACACGCGTGCAAACAAGCAGGTCCGCGCCTGGGAGCTCCTGCACGCCCCTGCTCTCCGCCCTTCGCACAGGTGCACAGCAAGGCCCTGGCTCCAACCGCAGCTCTGAGACTCCAGCCCCGGCCTACCCAGGCCCCGCGCCAGCCCCACCGAAGCCGCCGGGGAATCTCTCCACACCCCTTCTGCAGATGCAGAAAGGGAGGTGCCCCGAATTCAGCGCCTCGCTGAACTTACACTTGGGCGCATTCCTCCTCGCTCTCTGCAGCACTACATCTTTACTTTTTTTAAAAAAAGACCGTTGGCTTTTTTTATTTTTTTATATTTTAACATTTTTATGACTTACTAGAATGGATAGGAAATGGTCGGAAGGCACATTTAATACAGTCAGCCACTGTCCATTTTTTAAACCAATTTAAAACGTATTATGTTTTTGTTTGCTTTTTGAGACAAAGCCTCTGTATGTAGTCTAGGCTGGCCTTGAACTTGCTATGTAGCCTCGGCTTGTGGTCTTCCTGCCTCTGCCTCCCAAGTGCTGGGACAACAGGTATGCAGTACCATGCTCAACTCCATTTTGTAAAATTAATTCATTTTACTTTTAGTGCTGAAGATTGAACCCAGGGCCTACCGCTGAGCTATCTTCCACCCTAAAAATATATGAGTTCTTTAATGTAAATCACAACCTCTGTCCTTTTTTCAACAAATATTTAGACAGACAAGCCACTTTACCATCATTTTGTTCCTTACAAGATACTTGACACCAAGGCCCTGTCACCAGGTTACAGGTGGTTTACCTTACCGATAACATGGTTCACCAGCACCCCGACGTCCCACCCAATGAAAGCAATGACGTTATGGAGTAAAATATGGACAGAAGTGGCTTCCCCAGTGTGCTCCAGAGCAGTAGAGAGCCTCTCCATCCAAACAGTGTGTTCCCCTCTCGGCTCCACGGACCCATTGCTCTTCTGGTACCTTGGTGCCCTAACTCAGGCAGGCCCTCCAGGCCCGCATCCTTCCTCCATCCCCTGAGCACCCTAGGTCACTCAGAAGCACCAGCGGGATGAACTACTACTTGCAGGGGTTCTCACGTTGGTAACATGACAGCATCGACATTCACAAACCACTCCCCGAGCTGCCCAGGCCTGCGAAGGTTGCCAGGGTATAACCTGCAACAGGCAGACACACTCCTGACTCCCACAGCAGGCCTTTACATTCCCCTCAGTGCCTTCCTCAGCATGACACATCTGTGTTTTATGGTGGCCTCGAATACATACACTAGCAACCTGGCTGGATGAGATGTCTGAACATTCTAAATCACTATGTCGGCAGTGTATCATGTTTACCTGCTGGGTGGCCAACCTGATCTCCTGATAGGAACACAAAATATGTGGGGACCCATCCAAAGGGAAAAGGGGAGGGACAAGGCCAGAATTCAAACACAAACCCCTGGAGCGTTGACGACCCAGACCCATGAATTCATTCCCCTCACCTTCCTGAAACACAAGGCAGAGGCCAGGACCGAAGGCCCGCATTGGCCAGTGAGCCTCGAGCAGAGAAAAATATTTGCTCCGTGGGCAGAAGCCAAATTTCTAATCCTGGCCAGGCACTTTACACCTGGGTGTGTCTCACCTTCAACACTGCTGAAAGAATGCGCTGGCTTGGCTCTGTTTTATCCTCGTAAAAACAACCTCCACCACACATTCTAGGAGAGGACATTTGGAATGCGGAGCTGGTCAGACCAAAAGCCAACGGCACCACAACGTGTGCAGAGAAGCACAATTTTTATAACCAACAAAACACAAATAGGAAAGAATGCACCCTCAGCAAGAAGACCTCATGGCTGACGTCACACAGCAAGCGTACGTTCAGGCAGGTGATTAGCTCAGGGCTATTTGGTGATATCGCACGACTTCAACTTCATATTTTATCTGTTTGTAAATTACAAATTTTACAACTGCCTTATGTTATTTTGGTACACAAAGGTTATTTTACAGCAGATTACCTACTAAGAATAGTGTATCAGGAGCAAGGGCTTCAGATTCAAGGCTAGTGGACAGTCTGACAACATACCTCCTAGAAAATACCTATCTGCCTTTACATGATTTCCTAAAGCTTCCATTTGCAAGAAACATCCAAGATTAAGCATTCATTTTTTTAAAAATTCGAAGACAACTGGTCTGGTTCTTCTAAAAACCAGTGTCAGGCTGGGGATGTAGCTCAGTGGCACCGTGCCTGCCCAGCAAGTACAAGGTTCTGAGTGCGATCCCTGGTACCACCAAAAAAAAAAATCCAGCGTCATCAAACACAAACTGAACAGGCGAAGAGAGGAGGCAGTATAAGAGTTGCTCTAGAGTAAAAATCATTTAGGAATTAAGAAAATAAAATGTGCGTGCTCCGCAAGCACAAGGACGTGAGTTTGATCCCCAGTACCCCCCCTCAAAAAGAATATAAAATGCAATGTGTTGATCTGAATCAAATCCAGCCTTGAAGAGAGTAACTAACAAAAACATGAGAGGACTCAGCTATTTATTCCCTTTGTATGTATCTTCCCAAGAGAGTTAAGTCCATCACATCACAGTGATCCACATGTGGTCATGTTTAATGCAGCACAATTCATACCAGCTAAATCTCAGCAGCAGCCTCTGTCCATCAAGAGAGGAACAGATAAAGAAAAGAGGTATTTACGCCCATTGGAGCACTACTCTACCACAAGGAAAGATGAACTTGAGTCCCTTGTAGGAAAATGGATGCACCTTGGGACCATAATGTTAAGTGAAATAAATCAGACACACAAGCTTAAATATCACATGGTTTCTCTTCTATGAGAAACCCAAAGTATAAAGAGCCAAATAAAAGGTAGATAATAATAAGTAGAGAGGAGGAAGACACGGAGGTGGGGGAAGGGGAAGAAAAAAGAAATTAACATGTGTTCTGTACAGGGCACCGGCTCCACACCAGGAATGGAAACATCTGCACTACACACATGCACTAACAAAAGTACTAAGAGTATTAAATAATAAATAAAAACTTAAAAATGCATGAAAGACCATTAGGGAAACTTGAAACAAAAAATAAAAATTGGATGATATGAATGTACTATTGTTAATTTTCTTTGGTTTTTGATAGTAGAATTGAAGTTCTGTAGCAGAATGGTGTCAGATGTCAGTGGGGATGCTAGGGTAAAAATGTCATGGTGCCTTTCTTTATCTCCTTTCAAATGGTTAAACAATCACACACACACACACACACACACAGGCACAGGCACAAGTTCGGAGGGGAAACAAACGTGACAAAGGGTTAAGTGGTGCTGGACCGAGGCGGAGGGCATCCAGGTGTCTGCTCCGTTCTTCTTTTCACTTCTCTGGACACCTAAGCATTCCCAAGGTGAAAAGCTAGGGGGAAGACTCCCCTTGCTCCCGGGCTAAACACACCATACCTACTCTCCCAGCTCCACAGGAAGGCTCCTGCCTCTTTTAGTGAACATCTGTAAATCCCTTGGCTTTGGACCCCGAAGTCATTTGAGCTTATTTTTTAATATGCAAGCCTATGTTGAAAACATTAGCACACCGACCCGCCTTCCTCCGGAGCTCAAAGCACTTTCCCATCTCTGACACACCCGTCGTCACCCACATCAAAGCCCATGACCTCTACTCTCAGGACCAGCGAGGCCACCGAGCTGTAAGGGGAAGGTGGGAGATCGCCTGTACCTTCCAGTCTTGGCATTTGAACGGTCAATGAATGAGCCCGTGTTTCTGCTTTGGAAGAATCTGTGACACACGGGAAGGTTCCACCTTTCATGCATGCACACGGGCACACAGTTCTACCTGGAGCGCTCAGGTTCCTGCTTCTCCTGGGTGGGACAGGGGTTAAAAGAGGCCCCATCCCAGGGGACCCAATGCGAAACCACGCCTGGCACCTCCTTCTGTCCCAAATCCGGCTTCCTCACACGAACACTGCTAAACCGAGATCTCAATACCATGCTCCCATAGAAATGTCCCATGTTTATGTTTATGACACTTTAGAGTTTTCCCATGAAAAATACTTTTAAAAAAGATAACGTTAGAGGCTTCCATAAAGTTTTTAAAAAGATAGCTTTTTTAAAAAGCAGAGTGAACCCCATGGTAAATGCAGATTTCAGGGCACACAGACTTCTCAATCCACACCAGTGTCCCTGCCATGCTGCGTGCTGGGGGTGCGTTTGTCAGGGCGGAGGCTGGGGGTGCAAATCATTATCCCTTCTGCTTTATGTTGGCTGTGAACCCTTAATATTAGGACAGAAACACTAAAGTTGCTGGCAGATAAGTTAGGTAGAACTCTTGAAGACATTGGCATAGGAAAAGGCTTTATGAACAAAACCTCAGTAGCACGGGAACTAGCACAAAGCATCAACAACTGGGATCTCATCTTATTAAAAAGCTTCTGCACTGCAAGAGAAACCAGCAACAGAGCTAAGAGACAACCTACAATGTGGGAAAAAAAATTTTAGCAGCTGTACCTCAGACAAAGGACTACTATCTAGAATATATAAAGAGCTCAAAAAAAAATCAGACCCTCAAAATATAAAGACCCGATTAAAAAATGGGCATCTGAAATGAACAGACATTTCTCAGACAAAGAAGTAAAAGCAGCAAATAAACATGAAACAATGTTCAACATCACTGGTCATTCAAGAGATGCAGATGCAAACGACACTGAGATTCCACCTCACCCCAGAAAGAATGGCTGCGATCAAGAAATCAACCAATAACAAATGCTGGCGGGGCTGTGGGGAGAAAGGAACCCTTCTCCATTGTTGGTGGGAGTGCAGACTGGTGCAACCACTGTGTAAATCAGTGTGGAGATACCTCAAAGAGCTAGGGCTAGAGGTCCCATTTGACCCAGCCATTCCCCTGCTGGGTATTTTCCCAAAAGAATTAAAAGAATCATACCACAGAGATATAT